CACTGCATTCCAGTCTGGGCGACAGAGTGAGACCCCAACTCAAAAAAAAAAAAAGATGGCAATCTTACGATGTTGGTCAGGCTGGTCTTGAACTCCTAACCTCAAGCAATCCTCCCACCTCAGCCTCCCAAGTAATTAGAATTATCAGTGCAAGACATCATGTCCAATTTATAATTCCATTTTTGTAAAACAAAAAAGTCAAGAAAGCCAGGAACAATAGCATGCCTATAGTCCCAGCTACTTGGTAAGCAGAGATGGGACAAGTGCTTGACTCCAGGACTTTGAGACCAGTCTAGGTAATACAGTGAGTCCCTGACTCTTAAACAAAATTTTTAAATAATATAAATATAAACAATTTTTTTAAAGTCTGCAGGATCATATGAAAAAATAGCAATAGCGATCACTATGTAATAATATTATAGTTTACTTTTATTTTCTCCTTTATACAATTTGGTGTTTTCAGCATTATTACAATGAGCATATATTACCTTTAAAATTAGGAAAAAATAAGAAAATTTCCATCTTGAAGAATATAGATGTAATTCCATCACAAGATGACCATTAAGTACTAAAGGGCTTATATCATTCAGCAAGCATTTGTACTCTTGGTCAACAAGATTCTCTACTTCAGATCTGCAAAATTCAATGTAATACTGTACACCCTCAGGAAAGGACAAAGACTCGCTTCTTGTCAGTTCATATAGTAAAAGCAGGCACAAGGTCTAAAAGATAACCTGAAACTGTTCCAAGACAACTTTACTTTTTCTTTACTTTTTTCCTTAGCCTCTTTTATTTCTTCTCTCATCTCTACCAAAGAGCAAAGCAGTAGATTAAGTGAGGCAGAGACTTTAGATAGGGGTTGGATACAACCATTGTCATTCATTTTGGTTGTTTTTAATTGTAGCTAGTAGCCTTTAATCCAATTAGACAAGTTCCTAAGTGATTCTGAGTTCAACAGTACACATTCCAGAGAATGTGTTGAACACAAGAACACTGGACCTGTATGTCTCACCCATACAAAAAATTAATTCAAGATGGATTAAAGACTGTAAGACCTGAAACTATAAACATTCTGGAAGAAAATTTAGAAAAAAATTCTTTTGGACATTGGCTTCAGCAAAGAATTTGTAATGAAATCCTGAAAAGCAAATGCAACAAAAACAAAAATAGACAAATAGGATTTTTTGTGATTAACCCAAATTACTTTCTTAATTAACACAGGTGCCAGGTGTTTGGTGACAAATAGAATTTAATTAAATTAAAAAGCTTCTATACAACAAAAGAAACAATCAACAGAGAAAACAGACCATCCACAGAATGGAAGAAATATTTGCAAACTATGCATCCAACAAAGGGCTAATATCCTGACTCTACATGGAAATCAAACAACTCAGCAAGAAAAAGACAAATAACCACATTAAAAAGTGAGCAAAGGCCATGAATATACATTTTTCAAAAGAAGATATATAAACGGCCAACAAACATGAAAAATACTCAACATCACTAATTAACAGAGAAATGCAAATTACAACCACAATGAGATACCATCTCACACCAGTCAGAATGGCTAATAATGTAAACTAAAAGTAAAATAACAGATGTTGGCAAGGTTACAGAGGAAATGGAAAGCTTATACAATGGTGGTGGTAATGTAAATTAGCCCAGCCTTTATGAAAAGCAGCATGGAGATTTCTCAAAGAACTAAAAATAGAACTACCATTAGATCCAGTAATTCCACTATTAGGTATATAACCAAAGGGAAAGAAACCACTGTATTAAAAAGATACCTACACCCATATTCATAAGTTTATTGCAGCATAATTCACAATAGTAAAGATGTGGAATCAACCTAAGTGTCCATCTAAGTGTCTGTCAATGGAGACTTGGATAACCAAAATGTGACCTACGTGTGTCTATCTCTATACCATGGAATACTACTCATATAATAGCTACTTGGAAGGTTGAGGTAGAAGGATCACCTGAGCACAGCAGGCCCAAATTATGGAGGCCATGAGCACCACTGCACTGCAGCCTGGGAGACAGAGTGAGATCTATACATATCTCCATACCATGGGATACTACTCAGCCATAAAAAAGAATGAAATCATGCCTTTGTAGCAGCATGGATGGAACTGGCGGCCATTACCCTAAGTGAAATAACTCAGAAACAGACAAAGGCCACATATTCTCACTTATAAAGGTGGGAACTAAATAATGGGTACACATGGACTTAAGAGAGTGGAATAACAGACACTGGAGACTACAAAAGATGGAAGGGGATGAAGGTTAAAAAATTAGCTATTAGGTAGGTATAATGTTCACTGTTTGAGTGATGGATACACTAAAAGTCCGGACCACAATGCAATATATGCATTTAGGAAATCTGCACTTGTACCGTCTGAATATAATAATACATTTAAAAATTTAAAAATAGCTGCACCTGACCACCGCCATCATGGGTCGCACGCCCGCTCCCGGGAAGGGCCTGTCCCAATCAGCGCTGCCCTACCGCCACAGTGATCCCACTTGGCTGAAGTTGACGTCTGATGACGTGAAGGAGCAGATTTACAAACTGGCGAATAAGGGCCTGACTGCTTCACAGATGGGTGTGATCCTGAGGGACTCACAGGCAATAAAATCTTGAGACTCTTTAAGTCAAAAGGGCTTGCTCCTGATATTCCTGAGGATCTCTACCATTTGATTAAGAAAGCAGTTGCTAGCCGGGCTTGGTGGCTCAGCCTGTAATCCCGCGCCTTTGGGAGGCTGAGGTGAGTGGATTGCCTGAGCCCGCGGGTTTGAGACCCGCCTGGGCAACTTGGCGAGACCTCATCTCTACAATAAATCAAAAAATTAGCCGGTCGTGGTAGCGCGCGCCTGTAATTCCAGCTACTCGGAAGGGTGAGGCGGAAGGATCGACGGAGCCCAGCAGCGAGGCCTGCGGTGGCCGGGAGCGGCCACTGCACTCCAGTCTGGGCGACAGAGTGAGACTCCAACTCAAAAAAAAAAAAAGAAAGCAGTTGCTGTTCAAGAGCATCTTGAGAGGAACAGAAAGGATAAGGATGCTGAATTCTGCCTGATTCTGATAGAGAGTCGAATTCACCGATTGGCTCAATATTACAAGACCAAGTGAGTCCCTCCCAATTGGAAATACGAATTGTCCACAGCCTCTGCCCTGGTTGCATAAATTTGTCTATGTAATTTGTAAGCAATAAAATGCTTGTTTAACTTAAAAAATTAGAATTAAAAAATAAATAAATAAAGAACCTAGCAAACAGTAGGTGGCCAATATATGTCAGATTCTTTCGATAAATATTTAATTAACAAGTATCTATTTTTACTAAATTAAAAGATACCCTGACGTAGTACCATATATATGAAGTCTTTAGAAAGATCACTTTAAAGTTGATGATGTTATGCTAATATTACCCGAAACTAGCAAAATCTGAAAACTTTAAGAAAAACCTGACTTTAACAAAATTACTCCCTCCAAAAACATGCTGCTCTTATGAATTAAACAAAGGACCCAGCATTATCTGTAGTTTGCAGTTAGCCTGTTTTAAGAGCTTGAACCTTTGTGACTATCAGAAGAATTACTATGTACATTTTGATGTATTCATTTCTTTCCATCTCATTTCTTTCCATGTATACATAAATGTATGTTTGTATGTTAAGTGGACACCCCACCGCTTTTTTTAGCTTAAAACTACATCGTAAAAGTATATGTGTTCTCAAATATCTCAGAAAATATTTTTTAGCAATTATCTAATAGCCGATTATAGGAACACACATATTATATTAAGATTCACCCGTAGGGAGGGGTAGGGGAAAAAAAGATTCACCTGTTGTAAGATCTTTTAGGTTGTTTCCAAATTTTTAATTTGGAAATGTATAATAATTAATTTAAAATAATAATGAAAATGTAATAACTATCTTTACAGAACATTCTTCTGCTTAGAATGATTAGTTTATAAATTTCATCCAACTTTTCTAATGTGGTATGTTTCCTTTACTGATTCTCTGATTTATGACACTCTCTTACATTAAGCTCTTAACATTTACTAGAGTTTATTTCCAGGTTATTGTGGCAATCAGAATATTATTTCACTCATTATTTATTTACTATACACACACACACACACACACACACACACACACACACACACACACATAGTACTTTTTCTTATTTTTGTTTCATTGTTCTATGAGTTTTAGAATAGTTTTAATGATATCACCCCCAGCCTCTAGAAGAAATCTCATGGAATTTTGATTGAAATTAAAATAGCTTAATATTGAAAGAGTTCTTAAAAATTAGTCAAGTTTGCCTTTTCATTTTAAGATTCTAAATCATATATATAAATTTTTTTTTTTTCTTACCACTTCATTGTCTCTTTTAATTTGGTGTTTTCAATGTTTGTAAATTCAAATATATAATAAAAATACTCTCCTTTTTCAGTATTTGGTATTTCTGTCATTTTTAATAAAGGCCTAGCCCATAAAAAGTTTATACAGCCAGGCTCGATGGCTCAGCCTGTAATCCTGCGCTTTGGGAGGCTGAGGTGAGT